CGTTTTTGTGGCCCAAATTTCCTACAATGTATGATGATCCATTTTCTTCAATTTTTTGATCCAAATAAATATCCAAAGCCATCACATTTCCCAAGTGCCAAATCCAAAAAAGAATTAAAAGTCGTTCAAGCATATCTCAATTTCTGCAATCTCAAGGTTGTTAACACCAATGCAAAAGTAAAAAAATCCCATTTTAAATTCTAATCCAGCCTTTTTCATAAAAAAAAAAAAATTTCTAAGCACAACTGTAGAAATCAAAAGACAAGATTTTAACCGTTTTGGATACTGCATTCGGATAAGATCTGACCATCTTTGAGTTGCTTACCGGCGACGATGAGACGCTATTGATCCGGCGAGATCCTTTGGTTACATCTTCCACCTTTTTGGGATGAAGGAGATTGGGCTTTCAAGTTATAAAACTTGTAGAGAGATGGAGATTAAAAAGAGAAATATAGAGAAAGAGTGAGCTATAGAGCTTGTGAGATTAATAAAAGAGAAGAACGAGAATTGGAGAAGAAATAGAAGCATAGAACAAAAAGTGAAAAGCGGCTAAAGAACAAGAAAAAAAAAATGGAAGATTCAAGATTGGATTTGGCGGAGATGAAATTTTTTTTTATATATGGAAGGCAGGTGGCAGATCTGGATCTGGGTGAGGAGGAAAAGAAAATTTTATTGAAAGGGAGAGGGTTAGGGTTAGGTTTAAGAGAAGGGAGTGAAAATATATTTATATATATTTCTTATTCGGTTTTATTATTCGGTTTTATTATTCGGTTGTTCGGTTTTTGGATTAGCAACCGAACACCGAACCGTTTAAGATCGGACCAAACCCGAAACCGAACATTTGAGCCCGAAGCCCGTTAAGCCCGAACCGAATACCATTTTTTCGGGTCGGTTGTCGGTGGCCCGATCAGTTGCGGGTTTTGTGCCCACCCCTATACTTGCCACTAATTTCTGCCCAGAAACCAGTTTTTGTCCGACAACCAAAGAGTCAGTCGGGTGATCAAAAGACTGCCAAACCATTGTCTTGTTTCCATCAAACAACTTAAGGTTACCTTTATCAGTTAACTTCAAACCCAAAACAGATTTACCTGTTGTGTTTGTCGACCAAACCAGAGTGTTATCACCATCTTGCAGTGTTAGACCCCCTTGTTGGGAAAGTTGCAATTTTGCCCCACGTCCTACCGGATTGTTCCGATTAGCAGACCATACCATTTTTGAAATTGGATATGAGCTGCCTCCAGAAATGAAGATGGAGATAGCAAAGAGACAGGTGTTGTTTTCTTCAACTTTGCAGTGGAAGCCACAAACAAAATACCCCTTGACAAAGATAGGTTTCAGTAGTAACTCTTTTTGAGTTCCTACTAGAGTATGAGTTGTTGTTAATCCAAGAGCGTGGAGCCTTCGCATTTGATGGATAACCAGAAGTAATTTCACCATTTATCACAAGCAATGATGTCGTAAACAGAGCTAGCAAGTAGCCAGTAGTATTCC